CAACGTATCGGTCCCGAGGCTCAGTCCGTTGAATGAGATACTGTGGTCATAATCATAATCATAATCATATTCATCATCGTCACAAGCAGAGAGCATATGGTAGATTGTTCAATTGCGTTCCCGCGGGTCGGGATCATGGTACTCAGCGTGCCGCGAACGGATTCAAGCCACGTCAATAAGCCCATGCCCATGTGACAGGGTATGGTCGAAACCACCACCACCACACGTTTGCGGGATGTCACTGCGCCTACAGAGCACTTCATTTTCGTTTATCGTTCAGGCAGAGATGAGCAATGATGAGAGAAAAACCAAGAGATCAGACTGAGATGAAGAAACCATGGGGCCGGGGCCTAGGCGGGATGTGATGCATTGTGACACCTCGACATGCATTTACCCCAGGTCAGCAAAGCGGTCTGTTGCCCATGATGCTATCATCGTGCCTCCTTTTCGACCCAACAAGTACAACTGACAAGGAGATAATACGGTGTCGACCGATTCGAGTCTAGAACGGAAGATTTGCGTCTGGCGATCTGTCGTACACTGTCTATTGTTACTATATTCGGCACCGGCTGGGATTTTGCTTTTTCCTCCATGGTACAGGGGTACATGGACAAGCATAATAAATCCAAGCGCCTGGTCATCTGAACACCTGAAATTTCCTTCGGGTACGATAGTCTGGCGATATGACCTTTTCTTTTGCTATCGTGTCTGAATCTTCGCACCCGAGATAGGCGTCCAATATTACAAGGTACTTGGATGATGCTGGTAAGCGGTCGCTTCGGAAGGCATCTGTCGTTTCCATGATTTGCTGTCCGTAAATGTTTCTATCCGATTACTGTGCTGGACATTGACGCCTCCATTATACATCTCGATAACTGCCGAACTGACTCATCAGACGCATTCGTGCTTTCGATCGGTCTAGAACAACAGCCTTCGATATGGAGGTTCCATTGGTGCCTCTGACCATCCTTTGTTCCACATCGCCATACTCCTGTCAAGATTTGTTGTCATGTTCATATCTGTCATGATTCATGATCATTTCGCCGCGCCATGCAGTTGACATTTCCTCTTCAGTCTCTCTGCTGACCGCAACTCCGGGCCATGACACCGCTGCGCGAGGTCTTTGCGCCGTCCTTCACGCAGGCGGCCCAAGTCAAACAATGGCACACTTTAGTCCTTTGAAGATGATTCTAGGTATTGTAGAGGTTGAATCACGGACTGTTTACGCCAGTTTGAACGGTGAAGACGGTTGAGCACTTGGGCCATATCTGTGTAGCGCTGTATTACCCTGACTGGGCGTAGTCTATACAGGGAGACGAGAAAGACAAGAGATTGCGAGTAGACACTGGTAAATCCATCTTCGATAGACTAGATGTCAGACTGCTTAGAATGTCTCTGCTTCTACCCAAACTCTGGATCGACTGCACGGTTGTAGATTATACTGACGTCTTTCTGACTTCGACACCAGCCCTAAGTTCCTCCTGGCCGCATATTTGTGTACAGATTCCACAGGACTCAAGGGTTTTACTAGATTATGGATATCATGATATTCAGCGACAACGCCATACTGGCCTTATGAATGAATTCAGTGCAAGTGTGTTGAAATCACTTGCAAAAGCATTAGCATCTTGCGTGCGCAACTAGGCTTTCCATACAGACTCTCTTTCAAAGCCATTCACTGATCCTGATCAGGTATCTTTATCTGCTCATTCACTGGGCTGCCACACCGCATTGATGAGCTTTTGAGGCGTTATACCTTCCTGGAGAATCTCCCCTCCAATCCATCTTCCCTGCCAAATAGCCATATCCCACCTTCGTCGTTATACGGCCTTCTTATCTCTCATTCAAACTGCACGTTGTCAAAATGTGGGTGTCCGATGGCTGAGAAGAGTCCAGCTCCGAAGCGACTATGGGACTGGGGAAGTTTCGATGCGGCTCAGACAGTATCCGCAAAGCCCTAGACACCAAAATAGCGCCTGTTGAGAGTCTGAAGGAGCTCCCCACTGTGTAAATGGATGACATCGATGATGAACTCCAGTGGATTATTGACGGAAAGGAAAACTAAGCACCCCAGTTGATGGACCTCAATCGCTGGCAAACCGAACGAGGCAATTACAGCGGGATGTCTAGCTCTCGTTGATGAAGAAATAGGTAATGCCCTACAGGCTATTCCAAATTACCGCTTCAAGTGGAAGGCAGTTGAGTATTCATTGCCAAAGTCACCTTTCCATCATCAACCTGGTTGCTTTTCGTCGGTGCAGCACTGCCTTCGCACTTTGGCCACAACTTTGGCCCAACAATGACCGAGAGCCGTCCTAGATTGAGTGCATCCTCGATGCGAAGAAGTCCATTCTTTGTAGCCACCACAGGCCTGCAGGGTTAAGGTCATTTCTACCGGCCACGGTGGCCCGCCGAGACGGCGCTGTTCTCAACGCAAAGAAGGGTATGTGCATTCCTCCTTTTCCTTCTTCATGGTAGCTAATGATACCAGTTGCCTTTCATGGCAAGCTAGCCGCGACCGATATAAGCGTCATGAAGCTTATGAACCATGTGAGGGAGGTCGACTGGGCTTCAGATATAACTGGCGAACCAAAGAAAAGGCAGCTCAACGCCCAAGGCCACTCATCCACCCTCCTTCTCCAAACGCGTGGACTAGTCGATCCCGATCCCTGCACCTCAGGCGCGAAGAAGCCGGCTCGTTTCCAAAGATGCGCAGTCGCTCCCACCCACAAAGGCAAAGCCCTGCATCTCAGAGCGTGCTCGAATTGCATCGGTCGAATAAGGGTCCTCGCTGCTCTCTTGGCCTGCCCTCCACTTCGCATCATTGGGACCAGCAACTTGACGAGTAAGTCTCATTCCTGTCATGGGTTGATCTCCGCTGACCGGGACAGTTCCACTATTCGCGACTGTGGGCTCTCGTTTCTTGATGGCTACGGCCCAAAGCTTTCAGACATGCCAGTTGCCGAGGAGGATTTGATGTCGACGACGTTGCTCGCGATTCTTCTCGAAAAACACTCGCTCCCGCGCTCATGAACAAAGGATCTCCAGTTACCACCATTGCCAATCGCCAGGACAAGGATCAACCTCTGAGGCACCAGAGCCGGCTATCACAGCTACAATTAATATGACGACGCAAGACTTCCATCTGCCGTCTGCCCAAGTCGACTTGTTGGAAGGTGATGCCCCGACTGGCTGCCATGAGTATACATCAGGATGCCTGTTCAGCCTGATGGCTGGACAGGCTTGGTTGTCGAGCTCGGGATATCGCGACCATTACGCAAACTGCGTGAAGATGCGAAATGGTGGTTTGAGAACTCAGGGGTGATGTCAGGACCCTGCTTATGCTCGCCATAAGGAAGAAAGAAGAACTCATTGAAAAATGGCAGCTTGTGCCGCCGATGCATCCGCTCCTGTCACCAAACCGTAGGTTGATAGCCTATGGAAGCAGCCAGCACTGCATCCTCGCTTTACTGCGCACAGGAAGTGGTAGTAACAGCAGATCTCTTCACTCTTATTACCAGTGGTTGGTTGGAGTCATGGTTGGTCGGAGTCACAGGGTTTAAAACCACTCAGCATGTTCAAGAAAAGGTACACTTTATTTTTCAATATGTGAACACAAACCCATGACTCCATTCGAGGAACCCGTCCTACGCGGTTTTTGCAAACGTGCCTCAAACTTTGGTCAGGGAATCACTCGATCAACCGTGCCTTCTTGGTCCGAACAGAGCTCGAGTCTTCTATGATGAAAACTCAGACCCTTAATTCCCAAACGTCCCAGCGCTCCTCGTGAGCTCGCAAAAAGGCTTTTCACTAGAAGAATTGAGAGTACGACGGCGTCCATGGGTTGAGCCCAGGTGCTCATATTCTGTCATTGCTACCCATCAGTGAAAATTCTGTGGTAAAATGTATTTATTTTGGACATGAACACATCAAAGGCAAGCTCTGACCATCTCAAAGCTCAAGACGGCGGTCACACTTGCTAGTTCTGACATACGTCCATCAGGACTAGCGACGTAGAAGTCATATCTATGGAAGTTCTCACATAGATGTAGATGTAGATGTAGACTGTAGAAGACTGGTGGTGGATCTCCAGGCTAGCGTCGGTGGATCTTGGCAGTCCCACACATGATCGGGAGTCCGTGATGCCGATACTCCGACGGCCAAGGACGGAACATGACCAACCTTGCGTTCAGATTTTGACCTCCAGATCGTCTACATCGAGACATTAATACTGTCTGATGTTTGTCTTTTGGATAAACATTGCTACATCTTGGATAGCAGACTATTCAAAGAGACCCCGGGGCTGCTCCATGGTGGGTTCGGTCAAAGAACTGCGGAGCACCAAGTTATCACATCCCAACCGCTTCAAACTAAACAGCTGACCAGTTGGTTCGGTGCATTTCCTTTTATATAAGATTAAAACTTTTGCCTAACAGCTGAACTTTCTCTTTTAACACTTCCCCCATTGAGGCCTCGCGGCTTCCTAATCAGGCTTCCGGCACGTCCGGGTCCATAAATCCTGCTGATGACAGCAGAAACACGCTGCCTGGTTTAACAAAACCATGCAGAACTTATCAGTGGCAGCTGAGAGCGGTCTTTCTATGGGGCCGCTGGACGGTCATGCAGGTATCCATCAAGCACCAAGATCTAAGGACCATCATAATGTGAATCGAATACGTAACTCTCTGGTAAGAATCATCCGAATTTCTCGCTCCGGTATAGAAACGGCATTGATCAAAGTTGTCTCACCAGGTCTGCGAAGCTTGCTACAAGAGCAAGATAAAGTGTGAGCCTGATGCCTCCAACACATCTTGTAAGCAATGTACACGTTGTCGCATTCCATGCGAACTCTCTTCCCGGAAGGAGAAGCAGGAGCGTAGAAAAAGGTAAGCGTGCAGCAGACCGAAGCAATTCTCAGTCTCCCACTTTACGATAAGCGGTACACGGCTGACAGATCTAGACGCGTGTATGTAAAGGCTCTGAAAGAGCGCTTGGAAAGGATGGAGTCGCTTCTCAAAGCCGCTGGTCTCCTGGACGAGGAGAATCTTACACCTCCGGAAACCAGCAGCGATGATGATATGTCGATCGGAGACGACGGAATTGAAGCCGAAAGTGACGATGATCTCTCAAGTACGCCGCCACATAACTCGAGTGAGCACAAGGTTCGGATGTCGAAGTCGGCCAATCAGCAGTCGGAACTTGAGCCATCTAGCAAGCTTTCAGGTACTGGGGATAGCCAGCATGTTTCCATAATTCGATCGGATAACAAGGCTGACTCCTTATACTATGGTATGTCGTTCCTCAAGTATCCTGAGCCTTTCGCACTCCCTAAGATTCTGACCCGTTGCAGGACGTTCTTCCTCATTGTCCATTTTATCCAGAGAAGGAATTGAGTGGATTAAGAACAAGACCGGTGAAGTGAACTTCCTTCGTATGCTAGTTTCAGACACAAAGCACGATAGTCCATGGGACTATTGGCGGCCTGACGTCTTCCACGATGTCTTTGCCTCGAAGGTCTTCAAACCTCTTCCGCCCCGAGCGGAGGTATTTTCCTTGTTGCGCGATTATTTTCGAACAATTAATCGCTTGTTCCCGCTCTACCATGAAGCCTCTTTTATGGAAATGGTGGAATGGCAGTATACACAGCAGACTTGCGATGACGCTGCTCGGTGGGCCAGCATCAATGTCATTCTCGCCTTGGCCTATGAATACAGATACTCAAATAGTCTCAAATCGGAAAAGGACAAAGAAAGAGCGTGGCTTTATTATAAGAACGCCATGTCGGTTTTCGCTGAACTGACGCTGCGCCGGACTGATATGCTAAGTGCACAAGCCCTCCTTGGCATGGCGCTTTTCCTTCGCGGTAATTCCGGCACTCAGTCAGCAATGCCTTTGATAACAGCAGCCATCAGAACGTGCCACCGACTGGGTCTCCATCGTGACACTCCGCAGCCTCACCTTGCCCCAGCGGAGCAGGAGCAGAGGAAAAGGGTCTTCTGGATCGCCTTTGTTCTAGACCAGAGGTAAGATCAAAATTATCAGCTTCCTTACTGTCATGACTGTTCGAAGCTGATATACGATGGTAATGCAGTACATGTATACGAACTGGAAATGCGCCAACCCAGCATCCCGACGATTTTGACGTCGACATCCCGGCTGTTGATCCCGAAAATGATCTCTTGCTAAGCGATAACAAGCCATTTTTCCAGCAACTTTGTCAACTCACCATCATCAAGGGTCGTATATACACGAAGCTTTATTCTGAAAAAGCCTTGCAGAATAAGACCGCAGCTGAAATCATCAAGATCGTGAAGGAACTTCACGCTGAACTCGAAGAATGGAGGGCGGCGAACACGTTTGATGATCAATTGAAACAGGGAGCGGCAGGCGAGGATTTTCTGCGAGGATTTGCGTCCGCTGGCATGCAGTTCGTCTACTTCAACTCTTTGATCTTGATCCATCGGATGCCGCTAGTCATTCACTTTATCTACCGACAACGTCTCGCAAATGGAGGTCCGGCATCTGACGATGCCAATTTGATCCTTCGAGAGTCGTCCTCCTCCATTGCTCTTTGTTCAGAGGCTGCTCGGGATACATTGAGGCTCGTTAATAATCTCCCATGGGGTGATATAGCATGGATATGGTAAGGCAACGATCGCATCGGGCACCTGTTTATCTCCATTTCGATGCTCACTATTCGCACAGGTCTCTTCTATATTACGTGTTTCTGGCCGGTTTGACAATTTTCATAAATATTCTACGAGACTCGCGGTACCCTAACGCCAGGGAGGACATTCAATCGCTCAACATGGCGTCGACATTCTTCGCCACGCTGACCCCCGGCGATGGGCCCTCCAACTACGCCCGGTTCATGACGCAAATGAGCGCAAACTTTGAACGAATAGCCAGATCTGTCGTAGAACGAGATCAAAAGGCAACCAAACTCAGCCAAAAAGCAAATGCTCGTGCATCAATAACCAGATCAGAAGCCCACGATCTCGCGTCAGACGAGCAACAAAGCCTGCGACACCAACCAGCAGAAGCGCCAAAATCATCTCCTTCATCTTCTCCTGTCCACTCGCCATCAATCATCGATATTCCGCATCTCCCGGGTCTTCCCCGCATCAACTCTTCTGGCTACGTGGTGCCCGACAGCAGCCCTCCAGCGTCCGATGACCTCCAACCCTTAAGTCCTAATCCTCCACTCCAAAATACCTGTCAGAACGCCGCAGCGTCAGCTGAATCATCCGTGTCCCCCGAAGGATTCAATAATCCTACCTATCCTTTTGACGCTTTCCTCCCACTCCCGGTAGCCAACCACATCCCTCAAAGCGATTTCTGGCAAACCATTCCGGTAGCGGACTGGGGACTCCCCAATTCGGATCAGTTCAGTGACGATCCCTACTTACAAGGCTTCTTTCAAGGAACGGCGCCGTCCTTCACAGCAACAACTACCACAGCGCCGTCAGGCAATGTTCATTCGGCTTTCTTTAACATGGGGTTCTCTTCTGAAAACCCGAGTCAATTTGCTGACGATCAGGGTCCGGGTCAGACCGCCTGGCCCGGGGAAGGGTTTGCAAACCCATTCCCTTAATATGGAGTTGGGTTGCGCGTTCTTAATGTATTAAAGTTGTATACAAGCAACACGACATGTGACGACATATTATCCTGAATATAATCTTTATGAATGACGCGATCAGCAATACATACTTTCTACTCTCGAAATTTGCCGATTCGAACATCATAGCAAGCTTTCCATGTACAAATGAGATATCTTCAGGAAGGCCGTTCAATCAACAAACGCCGACCCTGAAACGAAAGATCTCCGAACACCTATGTACAATCACGTTTGGCCCTTCAATTACGCAATCAGCCAATTAAACGCCGTAAACACCCCTACCCACTCCTTGTCCATCCACAGGTACTTTAGAAAGCAGTCCCGGTAAGCATGCGAACGGCTTTACTCCAAACACCATTCCCAAGTTGTACTCCGGCAGTCTTCTGCCCCATTTCCTTGCAGAGGATGGTTCGCATCTCCGTCTCAGACATGCCGAGGTCATTGCCAGATCCGAAACCATACACCTTGCTGGCGATCACATCGGTCTCGAAATCCAACGAGCCGACGTCCCCGGACTCATTGCCCTGGACGATGCGGGTTCTCACCGCAAAGTCAACGTCGATTCGCCGTTTCTCATTGCTCGCGTGCTTCTTTGTGGATTTGGACGCGGGTGTTTTTCTACCCTCGGCTGTATCAGTTCCGAGAAGAGTGCACCTGGCTCTAAGTGACAGCTTGTCTTCGTCCTCGGATAGCTTGACTTTGGTTACGCCGCAGAATTCAAGCATGCGGGCTTCTTCCTCTAGGTTGAGCACGGAGTTCCAAGCATTGGATATGAAGCGCAAGAGATGCTTCGGAGCAATCGTGGCTGTCTTGGGCTGTAGGGTTTTGAGGTGCTTTTGAAGAGACTTGAGGACTAACAAGGCGATAGGAGATAGCTGCGGCGCTTGAATTGCGGACTTGCCGCCGTCACTCGGGTGATATTTCAACTCAAGAGGCCGGTTTGGCTTCTCGTCAATGCTGGACGGCGGTTGAGCTGCGTTTTCAGTAGCAAAGGTCGCCGGGTGGAAGACGAGTTGAAGCTGCTCCCGGTAGGACATGGTCAACAATGGGCCTGCGGGTGAGCCAGAGGAGGTGGCTGATACAATAGACCAGCCTGTCTGGAGCTCAATCTTCCGAACGGATTCTATCAAGATTGTGAGTAATCGTCGAGCATACATAATCTTCAAGGGAGCGAGAAAGCTTACCCTTCAAGTCACTGATTTCCTTGGCGCTCCAGCCATGACACTCCTCTTTTACCCTTTCAGCTTCCTGGATCTGCGCCAAGAACTCGGCTTTGAGTTCCGCTCCCGACTCAAGACTGTTGGTCTTCTCTTGCACCTGGCCTTGAAGCTCCTGCAGCTGCTTCTTCTTCAGCTCGATCTCATCCTCTAGGCTGGTGAGCTTCTCCCGCGCATTTTGCAGTTCATCCTGGTCACAACTCTCCATCTCATCCGCAAGTTGCTGTAGGTTCGCGGCCTCCTCTTGCAGCGCAGATTGTTTCTCGACGAGAGAAGGTACTACGCCATCGAGCAGGGTCTCATATTTTGTTAAGAGATCGTCATCCGTCTTCATCTCATCTACATGCCGGTAGAGGCCTTCTTTCAGACCGTCAAGAAGCTTCATACGCCATTCGTACCATGTGGCTTTGCTGAGTAACCTAGCATGGGCCTTCACGTTCCGGAACTGGTTGTCCATCAAGAGCCGGATGTCTGGCGGAGCAGTGGCATATTCTCGGAAGAGGGGCGGGTTCTCAGCGTATGTCTCGGCTTCAATGGATCGAATCACCTGTCGGCCTTCAGAGATGTAGGATTTCAACTCGCGGCAGGACTAAGTGGGAGTCAGTATACATCTAGGCCAAGGGAAAAGCAGGCAGCTTACATGCTGATACAACTCAAGCATGGGCACAGTACAGAAACCGGCAGCGACACAATCTTCAAAACTGGCTGTGGCGGCCTTGGACTCGGCAGAGAGCCTAGCTGTTCTCTTACTCGCACTCCCAGGGGCTGTAGTATGCCTTCGTTTTGTTGTAGTCAGCTCCATAAAATGGATGTTAGTCATGTTCAAGAAATCCTGTAGCTGAATAGGTTCAAACTCGGGCTCGCTATTTTGTGGAGCGACGGTTCCCTCTTCAGCTGATGTTGACTCTGTACTGGAGTTGAAAGACTCCGATACGTCTTTCGCCGGAGTAAGCGACAAGGAGCTGGTCTTCGGCTCCTGACTTGGAGTCGTGCTACCTTCAGTGGGTGGTGCGATAACAGATTTACGAGCGGGTGAGCGCTTCAAATGTCCGACCGTCTCATCCTTTGTCGGCGGTGCTGGAAGTTTAATGCTCTTCACTGGGCTGGCGTTGCGACCCTTCAAGCGCTTAGGAGTATTGTCGGTGTCCTCTTCATCATCCTGATCTAGCTCTACGGGTCGCTTGCCCAATAAACCCCGGGCAGCACCCACATGTAAGCTCTTGCGGCCGCGGAGCTTGTTCTTCTTTGGTGTGAGGCTTGAAATCATATCCTTCAAATTCGCCGTAGGATCCAACTGCAGCGGGGGGATATGACCGTCCTCCCGCTTCTCTTCTTCTTCACGCTCCATGTCGACTTCTTCTTGAAGTTTCAGAGGATCCTCAAAGCGCACACCCGATTTGGGCTGCTCCTGAGGAACGAAGCGCGGAGCCTCCTCTCCGATTGATCGTCTTCCATCGAGCATAGCAGCCACGCGAGGCGAGCCTAGGCCTTCTTTGTCAATTCCCAGACCGGATGAACGCCGTTTCTCGTGAGGACGCAATACAAAAAGGGGAACGGCTTCACCGGTCACCGCAGTAGATCCAAAGAGACTCTTGCGGCCAGGGGATTTATCCTTGCTAGCAGAACGGCGGGTTTCGGGCTGAAATAGCTTCTTCGGTGATGCACTTCGGTTATTCGTCGTGCTCAAAGGAGTTTTGCTGGGCGTCATGGATTGACTGGCTTGGGGTGTCGAGTCCTTTGGTGAAGTCAATGTATTCTTGACTGGTGATTGGTGTGGTGAGTGTCCCGATGGCGTGTTCGACATTCGACGGCTCAGGCTTTGCCTGGTTGATCGAGGTCTTACACTGGCTAAGCTGGGGCTTCCACTTTCGGAGGCGACAGCAGCCAAGTGGAAAGAAACTGGAGATTTTGAGGGGGATCGCCGAACATTCTCCTGGAAGGGAGAACTTCCCGGTTGTTCATTTTCCGACTCTGAATTCGCATCTTCCCTTTCCTGGTTTTCGTCGACACCCTCGATGCCCGTCGGCAAAATTCTTCCCACGGCAGTTGTAAGCTCCATTCCAGTCGTCTGGTCGTCGTCCTGCCCATCTCGAGTCCCTGTTGCCGAAAGAATGCCACCAACTGCCCCTGTCATCTCCATGTCTGCATCGTCTTCCATGCTGCCACCATCATCCTCATTGTTCCAGCCAGTGGTATTTGTTTCCTCAGCACGTTGAGCCTGAAATGGTTTGTTGAGAACACCTCCTACAACAGAGGTGAATTCCATTGTCATCTCCTCGTCGCTAGCATTACTTTCGCCGCCTGCGGATCTGGCGGGAGATGTAGATTGTTTGATGCCGCCAATCACATTTGTGAATTCCATTGTTTGCTCATCATAGTCTGTCTGTTCGCTCGTTGACTTGCGCCGGACGGTGCTCTGGCGATGACTTGGCTGGATGATACGCCCAATTGCATTCGTTACCTCCATGCTGAGGTCTTCGTCCCCGATATGGGAGGAACCATCGGGAACAGTCGATGATTGTATTGAGGCGTGCGATGGATTGATATTCTCTTGGTCATGCAAAGCGCTGATATCCTCCCATTCAAAACTTTGCCTTTGGCCCTTTTTGATCCAAGGCTGAAAAGCGCCAGTGATTTCTTGGTCAGCGATTTCCATTGACATCTCTCCATCCTCATCGTAGTCAATGCCTCTCGTTCCAGCTTCTTTAGCTGCTTGGCGTAAGGCCTCGTTCAGGCGGGCGCTGGAACTGGTACTGGAGCCCGACCGATCTGAACGGACACTCGCAGCTGAATGAACAGACATGTCGTCCATACTCATCGCGGTACTCTCCCCATCAAATCCAGAACCTGAGGAACTGTCATCATCGTCGTCATCGTCATCTTCCCTTGCAACGTCTTGAAGGCCAGTATCCTCCAAGCCGTCTGCGGAGCCTCCGCTGAATGGACTAGACGACAGATCTTGCGAAGTTGAAGGTTCATCATACACTGAGGTTGAACGGTTCCTGAGCTCTTGCAGGTTCGGATACTCCACTGGAGAAAACGCAATGTCTGATTCCGCTACAGTGTCAGGTGTGGACGGGGGTTCTCTCTGATTGGATGCTTGTGTCGGCGCTTGGTTCTCAGCGAGGGACGAAGCACGCCGTGTGGAGTTAGAAGCAGATGAGGAAGTGGAATCATCAGGAATTTCGACAACGTTCCACGTGTGTAGTGTCGCCTCCGGAGCGAAAGAAACGCGGCGGTTCGCTTTGCGCGGACAAATGTTAGCCAACCGTAGGGCTCCTAGGAAAGACATTGACTAACCCATCGATTTCCGGCGCGCTTCTCTCTTTTCCAGTATAATCTGACGCTCACGCTCTCTCCTCTCCTTCTCCTCCTGCTCCCTCGCGGCGGCGATCGCGGACGACGCATTGAAGGTATCGAAGGGATTGGCTGGATCTTCCGGGCCAGACACCGGCGGCTGCGCGGGAGTATCAATGTCTACCAATAGATCTTCTTTCCCTTGATCATTACTATTGCCCTGGACACCGTCCTGTTGTGCGCCGCGCGCCGGAGTTTGTTTGCGCGTTTCTTCGAAAGACGGAATGTTTCGAACTGGAGAGACAGGAATTGTCGGTTTGAGAATAGATTTGAGCGGAAAAGCCATGGTAGACTAAATTATATTTCAGTCAATATCATGTCTGACAAAAAAAGAAACAATTCTGAGCGGCCAGGAAGATACCTTGCGCCGATTGCCATTTGAATCCTGGAGCGCATCCAAACCACCAGGTCCTAAGCTCTTACTGCGGGACTTTTTATCTTTTCCCGCATGTTTCGCAAAGCCATCTTGACTTTGGACCGCACCTATATCTGTTGTGGCATTCTCTTTATCTATCCCAGACGTCAATCTCGAACGAGGTACATGGGCAATGGAACGGCGAGATCGTGGACGACCCGACCCCGCGGAGTCACCTCTGGACGCCATGAGGGCAGGTGAAGAAGAACATAGACAAGAAAATGTCTAAGCGATCTCCAAGATCACTGATCGAAGATGGATTTCTACCCTAGTTTATAGGAACCGGGATTGTTCTCAAACAGAAAGTAGCATAATCAATCCGACCCAGTCAACAAACTACAACATACATCAACAAGCGCGTCTCCCGGCCGCCGCTCATGTGATCACCCCCGATGTAAACAAACCAAAAAAGCCCTAGCCGAACGGCACCATTCCACATCTGGTCTAGTGCTCTCGTCGCACACTCACACCACGGAATATCGAGCCATCGTCGAATAAATCTTCCTCAACATCGACGTCGACCACCGCCCCGACCCGACACCCCCCTTCGCGACGAATTTTATATCCAGCTCGACTTCGCTTCCTCGTCGACCTGAATTCTCGCAAAAATGGCTACCGAGTTGACCGTCCAGTCGGAACGTGCGTTCCAGAAGCAGCCTCACATCTTCCTCAACTCCAAGACCAAGGCGAAGAGCAAGAAGGTCGGCCAGACCCGGAGATGGTACAAGGATGTCGGTCTGGGATTCCGTACTCCCAAGACTGCCATTGAGGGCAGCTACATCGGTATGAGCGACCTAATCTGAGATTTTGCCGGCGACATCGGATTTTAGACTCGGGAGACAGAGGCTACGATTACCTGGGTTTTGGGGATGAGGAAACCGCGCGGAATATCAAAATGCAATCACAAGAATCATGGCGCAAGAAAATTTGGAAAGAGGAGGCATCAGAAAAGGGGACGATTGCGCGACTGATTTCGTACCAAAATCCAGTGCCGTGGTCTTTATCGCGGAGTTTCGAGTTCCTCATCTCCAAAACCCGGGGATCAAATCCTGTTGGCTAGGCGTCGAGGAATATATTCACATTGCTAATTTGGAACAGACAAGAAGTGCCCCTTCACCGGTATGGTCTCCATCCGTGGTCGTATCCTGACCGGCCGTGTCGTCTCTACCAAGATGCACCGTACCATCATCATCCGCCGTGAATACCTCCACTACGTCCCCAAGTACAACCGTTACGAGAAGAGACACAAGAACCTTGCCGCTCACGTCTCTCCCGCTTTCCGTGTTGAGGAGGGTGACTGGGTCACCGTCGGCCAGTGCCGTCCTCTGAGCAAGACTGTATGTGGAATTCCTCCAAGCAACGACTCCGCGCGATATTCTCCGGCAGCGATCGACGCTGAAATGGAAACTATCATCGAGCGGCTGGTCATCCCGCGATCAGAAACATTTATGTTAACTTTTACTCTGATAGGTCCGCTTCAACGTCTTGCGTGTCCTGCCCCGTACCGGCAAGGCCGTCAAGTCGTTCAACAAGTTCTAAACGTCGATAATGGATGAAGGGGGTGTTCACATGGAAAACAAAACCTAGGGCAGCGGCGTGACTGGATATAAGCGAAATGATCTGGCGGGTTGGGATTGTTTTAACGATTCTATGTCCCAGGTACCCTCCTGCAGGAAATATCCAATACAAAAAAATTTGATCCTCCTGTGTTACATACAATTTCTACAGCAGACCACGGAATAAGGGATTATCACGCACGGCAGCTTTGGGAATGGAATTTTCTTGTCATGACTTAGAATCTGGTTTATTCTGTCCTCGTATCTAACGACGAGAGGGGAGTAGAGAGATACATTATCTTGTCCTTCACTCTGCTCCTTTGAAAACGGCCTTCTGGGTGCTTTAAGAACCCCGTCTCGAGCACGCAAATTCGCATACAGGTGGTATCACGAAGACAGTATAAGCGCCCAACGACAACCACTGGCTAATAGTGTTGTAAACTAGTGATTGAACCTTCAGCGAAAGAGGTACCTCTGCCAATGGAGACCCATCAGACGACACATAGGAATTATTTCCTCCTCTGAAAGGTCATTTGACATGCATCAGCTTGCAAAGTAGTGTTCATCCTGAGAGGTTCTTGTGGAATTATTCTCATCGGTCGAAACCTCACTTTAGAAGACGTTTGATCCTCTCGCGATCCGTGGCGAATCGGTCCTTCGGGGGATGCTCAGATGCAGGCAGATCATGCATATCTTCCCCCATAATCAGGTCCCCAAGCTCTTCAATTTCTTCTTCGAAGTCATCCAAGACAATCACGCTGGATTCCGGAGAGAAAGACTCAACTTCCGTAGGAGTCGATTGCTGTGATTCTTGGGCCAGAGACCAGTTTCCAGTATCGGGGTTGTAGAGCTCAATTCGATTGACGGGTCGAGTGTCCGGGGGCGTGATAGATGAAACAGGGCGAGCTGGTCGAACTGGACAAGGCGTGTCAAAGATCGACTGAATGTCGTCATTATCATCATCTTCGTCGTCTTCGTCGTCGTCTTCGTCGTCGTCTTCGTCATCTTCGTCATCTTCTTCTATCTCTTCGAATCCCTCTTCCTCTTCTTCCTGCACAACGGTGTCATGCTGAAGAAGATAATCTGTTCCAATTCCCTTGACCAGAGCTCTTCCTGCAGGCGTTGCATCCAGGTTGACTGGATATGGACTCAAGGTTGTATGGGGTAACCGGGCGAATCCAACTTCAAGGCCTTGGCAAAATTCTTGCCAGTCTCCCTGCTTCCGTAATTGCCATGACCTGAGGATGCCCTCACCGACCATCTGATAATATTCTTGGGGCACATTGATAAGATGGAGCAATTTACCCAAGCTTACACCAGAAGCATGATCCAGATTCATACTGCCGGTCTCCTTCGAAAGAACTGTTCGTAGCTTTCCCCGAACACGTTTATAGGAGGCAATTTTGTCAAGTTGCAGGATTCTGCCAATATCTTCATGCTTTTGCGCAATTTGGATGAGTGTACTGATCTTAAAGGAGCAAATTATCGCAGGCGTCTGAATCTCTCCCCAGATAAGGTATTCTCCGATTCCGCTGTAGCCCGGGATTCGGATCTTGTTCTGCTGTACAAGGGCTTTGGCGAAGTACAGTGGGCCTGTAAGCTTCCTTGTATCAATGATGGAAACCCTAGCCCCTTCTTTCCCCCACATTGCTCGGTGGATCGGGGCTAGGATAGACTGGAAAGTGGAAATGAAGGGGCTTGGGTTACTTGCGATACTGACATGGTTCAGGACATAGCTGTCGAATATTTCTGGAGCAATGTCTTCAGGAAGGAACGCGCTGACCTCAGAGTCAACAAATAGGCCAGCGATATATCGCTTTGGGATATTGATGCCTTGCGAGTCGGCGTTTGACCATCTATACAGAAGCGGCGGAAGGCAATCGCTTCGTGGCGATGTCCAAGTAGAAGGTGTCTGTTGCCACATTAGCTACCATTACTTGTATATGCTTCTCACAGGCCTACATTAGGTTCAGCTGCATCGTCTCCTTGGTCTAAGCACCACCAGCAGACCTTTCCACCATGTTTAGTCAGGGGCTGCAATGATGATGATTGCTTGTTGATACTGAGAGTGTGGCAGCCTGGCGAGGAGTTCTTTTGGTGATCAATAATTGTAGCTGTGAGTGGCGTAGAGTCCTGCTATCCATATTTAGGAAGCTTCCCTCGAACATTCATGGTATAACTTACGGTACTTGAATTTAGAGCGGAAGCTGAAGTTGAAGTTGAAGCTGAATCAGGAGCACTGGTCCCCAGAGATCTGGCCGTCCTTGCGCGGTACCCTGACGTGTCTATGTCATCGATTTCCTTCTCAGTGAGCGAGACCCCAAGCGATTGAGCAATATCGATGATCGTGTCCTTAATTGGTAGCCAATCGACGTGAGTGAGAGGAGATTTATGGACACGGCCCCAAATAGGATCCCCGTGTCGCTTCATGTCCTTCCATTGAGTTTTCAATCTTCTGCTAGAAGTCCTCCCATCAGGGAAGCCACTGTTCTCTAAATCCCTTCTGTATTTAGCATTGAAGATTTCCTTGAATGCAGTACTGTCCTTCTTAAAAAATTTATAGAGACAGCATAGGAATATTCTCTTTTCATCATTCCACGGCACTTTGGGAAGCCTGATCGAGAAGTCGAGCTGCATTTTGAAGGCTGTCTTCCAGGTAATCCACTAGGATCTTGGGGAGGACAGAAAGTAGAGGTATAGTGAGATAATGGAGGCAACGCAGGTGGAATATTGTGTAAGATGGATGAGAGAGTAGTTGAGAGTAAGAGAGTAGGAACCAACACAAGTGAAAGTATTCCGCAAAGATGATTAGAGAGTGGATGAGAGGGTGAAGCGAGCGGACCAACACAAGGTAGAGGCTAGACTGAGGACCATAGTAAGGTTCATAGTAAAGAGTACTCCGTAGTCACAGAGAATCTGTAAAGTGACTGGGGCAGCTGGCTGGGATCGCACACCAACATTTGACAGAAAGGTGGCATGAAATGATGGTCATAAGGTGGTCAAAGATTTCATATCCATGGGAGTCAGATCAGACGTAATGAGGTCCTGAATTTGCTGTAAACCAAGAAGTGTTGTTGAGCTTCAGTCGAGGTACGGGACATAGGCTGGAGGAGAGGTCAGGACTCCCTTGCCCACTGCCATTTCTCATGTTTAACCAACATCCCACTCTAAAAGAGCGAAGTGAATGAATGGTTACTTGCTCAATTTTGATTGAGGCACTAAGACAAGAGCATCAACGTTGCATGGTTTTCTGTCAGTGTGTCATGAGAATATATTCAGTGATGGGCATATTTATATTGTAGAGCTGTACATTGCAAAACTATACTTGATTTGGGAACTTTTGAGTTGATCAAATGGATGTAGATGTCCATAAAGTGCGTTCATTGTCAGAGTGAAATAAATGATGGGGAGCGAGCTGAAGCTTTAATTGTTGGTTGGTATACTGGCGGTTATCAAACTGCGTCACAGATGTTGACCCGATACTCATGCCAGCACTAGCCATGTTGGAGTAGCCGGAAAGTCATCATCATCAAAGCCAGGAGCTCCACCGCGGCTCGTTCGTCTACCAAACACCACCGAGCCAACGAGCTCAAGCTCTTGCAGTAAATCAACCACCAGCACCAGGCTCTTCATTAACCCGTGCGATTTAATTTCCATCAATTTTTATCAATCCGGCATTTCCGCCTCGATTGAAGGCCTTGTGACCAGTGTCCTCTTATCTCTGTTCCTGACTACTCCGTGATAATCAGTGGCTGCGCAGCATGGCTTCTTGAACCATCATGATCAAATTTGGTGCTCATGTACACATGTCGATTTAGACCCCTTTCCGATACAACTTGCAATTCCTCTTCGCTCCGCAGGCACGGTTCTGAAGTCCAAACAAGTCCCGCTATTGGGGCCATTGCGACGGTCCCCTGATTCTTATTACTACCCAAGTTCGGCACCTAACCATTGCTGACAATGTCTCAAAATTTTGAGAAATCCGTGAAGGGAGCTACCAAGGTCAAGGTTAGTCAGATAAATTTATTCGTTTCGTCAATACTATCTCGGAGGATCACTAATACGTTTCTCGATGGACAGCTTGCGGCTCCTAAATCAAAATACATCGAACACATTCTGGTTGCGACCCATACGGGCGAGGCTGGTGTTGCAGAGATTTTCCGGACGCTGCAACTTCGACTCCGCGATTCAACATGGACAATTGTGTTCAAGGCGCTAATTGTCGTGCATCTTATGATACGAGAGGGGCAATTGGATGCCACATTACAGTTCATGGCGGAGAACCCAACCAAATTAGCAATTAGCGGATACTCAGAAGGTTAGTGCGCAAGCTGCGAGCTTGAATGGACGGAAGGATTTTGACGAATGTGCGTGTTCAATGCTGATGGCTCATGCCTGTAGTACAATCACAAGGGCATAACATCCGAAGATATGCCGATTACCTTATGGCGCGCGCAAAAGCATTCGAAGCTACAAAGACCGACTACGTTCGGAGCGGACAAGGACGGATGAAGCGATTGACAGTTGAAAAGGGTCTCCTGAGAGAAACAGAGACTGTTCAGAAGCAGATCAAGGCTTTGTTACGCTGCGACGTGGGTCTTCACCTTACTGTGACCGGTGCTAAACCCGTGACTGACACTTCACCATCAGCTTCTGACAGATGAAGTGGAAAATGAAATTACACTCACAGCCTTCCGGTTGCTTACATTGGATCTCCTGACTCTATACTCGGTCATGAATGAGGGTACAATAAATGTCCTAGGTAAGTTCCCTGTCCCGACATGTGGTGACCTGCATTAACGCGATCGGTGATTAGAGCACTATTTTGAAATGTCGAGACCAGACAGCGAGCGCGCTCTAGAGATCTACAAGACCTTCACCACGCAAACGGAGGAGGTTGTAAAGTTCCTGGGAGTTGCTAGGCACTTCCAATCCGCAACCAGATTGGAAATACCCAAACTCAAACACGCTTCGACGGACTTGACGCGCCTTCTTGAGGATGATCTCAATGATCCGGATTTCAACCTTCGCCGAAGGGAGTACCTGGCTCGGAAAGGCGTAAAGAATGGTGGAGCAGACAATGCGCTGAAGTCCAGTATTACTGGGGGGCCCCAGAATACCAGTAATATGGGTTCCGCCCCGAGCCGCCCACAAACAGAACCGAACCCGCAGAAGAAAACCAACCCTGCGGACTTGATTGACTTCTTTGAACCCATCGAACCCAATCCGCAGCCTACAGCACAACCAAGTACTTTCCAGCAACCGTACCAAGCACAGCAGCAACAGCAAGCCATGCCGTTCCAACCAACGGGCTTCCAGCCGCAGCAGACAGGGTTCTATACCCAGCAGACGGGTTTCCAGCAACAGCCTCAAGGGGCACCTTTTGGTCAGCAGACCGGCTTTGGGGAACCCTTTCCTCAGCAGAATAATAGCCAATTTGGACAAGCGCAAGTCCCGCAACCACTCCAGTCTACCCCAACCGGGGCTGGATTCGGCGGCTACTCAGCACAGCCGCAGACATATGGATTCCAAACCCATCTTAGCCCCATACCGCAAAGCGGTGTTGCATCATTTTCTCAGCAGCAACAACCCGCATCGGGTGTTCAGCAGCAACCGCAACAGCAATCAACCAATCCTTTCAGACAGTCAATGTTGATGAGCACGCCGACAGGGACTGCTGTGCCAGCGTCTCCGTTGAGCCGCCAAAACACAAACCCTTTTGCCAGACGTCTATCGACGGTGAATCCGCAATTCACTTCAGGCCCTACTGAGGCGACTCCTCAGAGTCAAGCGCAGCAACCACTTCAGCCTCAACGAACAGGGACCAATCCCTTTGCTCGAAGCTCCTCTGTTCCTCCCCAGCAGAGTCAGGGGCTGCAGCCTCCAGCCGCAGCACCCTTACGACCGAACCCAACTGGAAGCACAAATCCCTTCCGACAGAGTACCTTTGTGAACCAACAAACCGGCCAGGGCTGGCATGTCGGTGGTCAGCAGGGTACCATTGGGGGACTCGAACAGCTGGAAACATTGCCAGTCTTCCCACGGCCCGGGATGGCCTAGCATAGCAGATTGTCGACATACATAGTCACCGGAAGTGAAGTCTAGATGGCTGACCGGGGACATAGCCTATCTTATCATTTGTTTCCGTGTCTGTCTTTATGCGTCCGTCTTTCTGCTGATCACTATATACCTGTACTTCTTGTCCGCATTGTCACTGATTCCTGCACCAAGGCTTCTGGTGTTTGTAACATTGAGCGAGTCCGCAGTGCGGGCGCATTTCTCGTTAAGACAAGCAGCGCATAGCAGATAATTGAGGATGATACATGTAAGTGGTGTCGGTAGCGTAAAGCTTAGAGCGTGCAGTTTGTGGAAAGTCCTGATATGTATTTGGTTTGCTATGCGCCTAGTATATTGGGACAGAGGGTATCTCTACCTAGAAGATTTACAATCAGAAGCACATAGCCCCTACCCTACGTTCACAATACTCAGAATCACATCATACCTAGGTACCTATCAAAATGGGTCAAACGTATTCTTGTTATAATTTCTAACTTTCATGCTATTGGGTTCAATTCCAAGGAAGAATTCTCTGGTACGCGAAACGTCAACAGATACCATCCACTCATTACCAATGATCGCCAATTTATCCAGGACACCTTTGCCTTGGGTGTTCCAACGGTATTACCTGAGAGCTACTTCAAGCAAGTCGCATTAGCGGTCCTCAACGCATCTGTTCGGAAAAGAGTTGCGGATGGTGGACAGTTATACGGCGATACGACGTCGTCTTATTGTTAGATTGTCCAAGACGTCCCAAGTTCTCAACAAATGGTAGGCCGCTGGCCCGTGTCGAGATGGTGCAGCAACGAAGCAAGGGAGCAAAGAAGCAAGGACCATACTCCCGTATTTCGTATGCACTTTCCAGGCCCACACGCAGAACCCGAAATTACTTCTTCAGGAATCCGGATACGCTGCAGACGGGCATGATGACCCTCCTGCAGATCGCGAGTCTACAGTCTACACGGCCCAGGCTCGCTAAGGCACTCAGAATTAGATCTACAGCGAGCGGACGGTAAAGCAGTGTCTACGGAGTATCTATCTTGTATAGAATTCGATAGTGGGATTTTGCGGTCAGATCAACGATCCGTGCAACTTGTAGAAATTCCAAGTTTTCC